GTAAAATTTATAAAAAAAGTAAAGTTTACAAAAAATATAATGACATATAAAATAAAATTTTATAATATGATTTGTAATTTATTTCAGTTTTTAAATTTTATTTTTATAAAATAACATTATTTGAGTGACAACTTATTAGTGACAAATAAATAGATTTATAAAAATCGTTAAATACTTTATGGTATATTAAAATTATTATATAGTATTTTCATAAAAATAAAAATACAGATTTATTGKTACATAARTTTTTTTAAGAATAAATTTCATTMATTCAAACTAAACTAATAATTTTAAATATTTAATTTTAATAWTATTGTTTGTACTAATTTTAAACAATATTAWAGATAATTAAGTTAAGTGTTAAATTASAAAAWATTAATAATTAATTTAGTATTTATAARTKTATTTCTAAATATTTAATTAGATATATTTGATATGTATTTATAAAAACATTTTACTAATTTACTATATTTATGACAAATRTTATTATTTATAGATWTTAATTAATGAATTTATTGATTTACTATTTAAGACAAATATTATGATATAAATAGCACTTTAATATAAACTTTATTCATGTTTTTATCCATTATATTGTTATATAATTTTTTTAATATACGAAAAAATAAATGAATAATTGTTTGAATGAGTGAACAGAAAAAAAGAAAATAAAAAAGAAAGAGAGAGAGAGAGAGAGAGAGAGAGAGAGAGAGAGAGAGAGAGAGAGAGAGAGAGAGAGAGAGAGAGAGAGAGAGAGAGAGAGAGAGAGAGAGAGAGAGAGAGAGAGAGAGAGAGAGAGAGAGAGAGAGAGAGAGAGAGAGAGAGAGAGAGAGAGAGAGAGAGAGAGAGAGAGAGAGAGAGAGAGAGAGAGAGAGAGAGGAGAGAGAGAGAGAGAGGAGAGAGAGAGAAAAGAGACCTTAAATTTAATTATATAAATGACTTACAAATCGTAAGCATTTATATGATATCAATCTTGAGAYGAGAGCTTTGTGTTAACTTTTTTTCAATTAAATGATATATTATTGAATATATATATATATATATATATATATATATAAATGACAAACTATTGATTATTGTTTATAACAAATATATATATTTATTTATTTTTACTTAACTATGAGTGTCCATCAATTCTTAAKTTTTCAATAAAATCAATGCATAGACAGTATAAATRTATAAATTCAATGACATATACTGTACTATATATATATATATATATATATTATATTATATTTTATTTTAAGTGTACTAATGAGACTCATTGATTAGTAATTAATTGCAATTCCTATATATATTATTGACATTTTAATTAAATGAATGTAAATCTTAGTATAATAAKCTATTRTATATATAYTGTACACTAAATATATAGTTTTAATCTAAAATTCTTAATAGTTATAAATRCATTGACACTAAGCACTCGTATATATTTTAATTAAAGGAAAAAAGGCAAATGTCTTGATATGAGATATTTTGTAAAATAACAAAAAACGACAACAAAATAATAATCCTAAAAGATTTTGCATTTGAAATTGTTTTCTAATTGTTTTTGATTTCAAGTTTGATAGAGAATCATAAACTATAATAGAAATTTTTTATTTAAAAATAAATCCCAATCTTCTATCTACTAAAGATTCAAAACAAAAAATTACCAACATAATTTTTTAGATATATGRTTTTCAGATCATATAATAATTTATTTTTAAAAAAAATTATTTACAATTATGGGGTTATTATTGGATTTTTTTTAACCCGTCTGAAAAATTTGGAAACATCATTAAAATACCCGTCCCTTCACTACTAGATTAATCTGAACACAAAAAATTATAACAATTTTATTTAATTTTTATTTATTTATCTGACCAATTGAAATTACAAGTTTACTTACTCACCTATTTTTTTACACTCCTTTATCCTATTTAAGTCATTTTGACTATAAAACTGATCCAAACATATATTAAACTCTGTCCGGGGGTTTGTCTGACAATGAAAGGCTTTAACTTAAAGTCAAATGAATTTTTATTTTTAGTCACAAAATAAAAACAAAGAAAAATTTTAATATTGATTTTGTCTTAATGTATGTATTGTACGACAAATTATTTATAAAAGAAAATAAATTTATTATTTGTTGAATTCTGTTTAAATCTTTTCAATAAAAAAAATTATATTGTTATATGTTTTGTCTTTTATAAGAAAAATAAAAATTTTCAATTATTTTGTTTTGTAAAATATATTATTATTATTATTATTATTATTTATAATATGTTACACARTTTATCTACTTTAGAAATTTATTTCACAAAAATTTTTCTATTATAATAAGGTGTTTCAATTTTATATAAATAGATACAGTATATAATTGTTTCTAAAAATATGAAAATATTTTTATTATAGTCATTGAAAAAAATATTTATATTCTTATTTAAGTTTTTTTWWAAAWATAGTTAAAATATTGTATTTTAATTAGCACAATTGTTGAAAAAATATAATTTATATTAAATATAATAATTAAATGTTAAATTATAATCTTAAAATGATTTTTATTAAATAGTTTTAAGTTAATTTAATTTAATTTCTAATAGTCTGTACACTATTTAAATTACTTAAAAATATTTTTTTTATAAACTTGTTTAGTGCTACCACTTTGCGTCAAATAATATCATTAGTTAATAAATTTTTAGTATATTTTATWAATAAAAATATTATATATTGTTTTTATAAGAAACTATAGATGTCACAACTATTTTTTATTTAATTTCTATGAATTTAAATTAAATAAATATTTTTATCTAGTATAGTTTACTTTTTATTTAATTAATATWTACATTTATAAACAAATAGAGAAAAAATAAATTAATATAATTATTATATTTATATTCAGTATAAATTASTYCAAAATTAGTTGTAATTATRGTTAKATTATTTCACTTTAAATCATATCATATCTAATCAATTAATTATTTTAAAGAGACAGCAATCATGAACTTAATCTATAAAACATATACAATATTATTATTATTATTATTATATTACAGTATATTATTACCTATTTTTGCTATAATCATTAATATCATTTATTAATATAAATCAATCTTTATCTAAATACAATATGTCAATACTGTATACAGTAGTATMTACTTTGGATAGTTGTATAAATGTTACAATAAATGCCAGTTAATGTCAAAAGATAATCTTATTGTTAATAAGTTTTATTGAAATTTTGTGTTATTTTGGATTATTGTGATCTCTTTATAAATATTTCCTAATTGAACATTAAGTCTATCAATATCTTAATCTTTACAATTTAATCCGGCGTTAAATATGAAATAAATGTTGAAAGCCATGTATAAATACTTTTTTCAATATTTTAAAAAATATAAATACTTATATATATATATATATATATATATATATATATATATATATATATATATATATATATATATATATATATATATATATATACTAGAGATTCTATAGTATATAAAAAAATTAAACAATTAAATTAATTTATCACATAACTAATGAAATTTCAATGTAATTATCTTTCAAAAAATAATTGACACTTTATTGATAACATAATATAATAGCATTTTCTATAAATAATTTATTAKTTTATATATAATAATAATTATTATTACTTAATATTAGCTAATAATGATTACACTTTGGCTGTACATAAATAATTGTGAAATTTAATTGTTTTTTCATGTTAATAAAATTTGGTGTAATGTAKATAAAAAACAATTTACAAATCAATATAATTAATAAGTAAATATTTGTAAATATTTTTTTTAATTAAGACAACTAAATTTTTGTGATAATTTTGTAAATTATATAATATAAACAAGTTTATATACTATGCAAATGTCTAAAATTATATTATTTATTAATAGGTCAAATAGAAATTAATTAAAGCAAATAGTAATTTTATTATTTAATATAATAACTAAAATAATAACAATTTTTATTCATTGGTAGTCATTAACACTGTTTATCTAATTTAATAAAAATTAATTGACAAAAATAWTGTAAATATTATAATTTAAAAGTTTACATAAAYAATTAATTTTAATGWATTTTWTTTGATGAWTTAATAATAAATTTAAACGCACATGACAATTTATTTAATAATTTTTTTTTAATAATTTATTTATTTTTTTTGTCATATCATTTATTTAAATTTTATATTTTCATACTTAAATATAAATAAATTATTTTWAAAATATTTATAATATGTTATATTAAAATGTTTTTCTAAGTAAAATTTAAATAAATATGAAATATGTTTTATTTAATACTTTAATAATAYATAAAACATTATATTAATACAATTWATTTTTATTTTAATGCAATTTTATTGTATTAAAAGTTTTTTTTTAAAAATATTAGTTAAAATTATAAAAATTAATTCATAATGTAATAACWTTTATAATAATTTAGATTATTATTATTAATAATTATATTATTATTTTAAAAAAATAARCTTATTTTAATTTWTAWATWTAAAAAATATATTATTTTATAAAAATAATAGTTAAATGATAATTACAATATTGAAATATAATAATTAACAGCAGATTAAAATTATAATGTTTAAWTTTTTTACGTAAAAAGGATGCTAATTARTTTAATTTATAAACAAATTATTTCCTATTATTAAATATATTATTATAAATATATGTACTATAATATAATWGATGACAAAATTTTATAATAATAATTRGTTTTAAATACTAATTAATTAGAGAGTAGATTAAATTTTTTGACATAACATTATTATTTAAATGTATTTTTAAATTATCAMTATTTAATTTTGTTAATAAAAATGTTGTTACTATGTGATTGATTTTAGTTTTAAACATTTATAATTAATGATATAAATCGCAAAAACAATGCAAGTGTTTTCTGATTCAAAGACACAAATGTATTAAACATTATATAAATTATATATATATAATTGAAAAAGTATTTTATAAAATTAAATTTAATTATTAATATTATATGTGAATTATTGTCACTCAGAAAATAGTTAGTATTAAAAAAAATCTGATAATAAATAGAGGAAAACAAATAGTCAGACAATATGTTTGMMTTAAATTTGGTCGCATTAGTAGTAATTGTTATGGTGTTTGTCCATGAGTTTGGGCATCCAGTGGTTGGCCAACAGTGCGAACTGACCACCAATAACAATGTTCGGGGATTTTGTACTAACAATAGACAATGTTGTCGGGGTTATCCTGTAAACAGTATGTGCGGAAGTGGACAGGTGTGCTGTTACGGTCAAAATGTTTGTTCACCGGCTAGAGGTAAATAAGTTKTTTTTTAAAAAATAGTGATATAATCTAATTTTTTAAAAATTATTACAATAATATCTAATAGCACCAAGTTCATTGACTAACTGTCCACCAATAATATCACGTGCCAACTGGGGAGCAGCTCCTGCTCGACGWACTATAGCAAGTATAACACCAGTCAGACACGTGTTTATTCATCACACGGGMGAAGCAGATGACGGAGAARTTTGTTACGGATTTTATGAATGTTCACAACGATTGAGATCTCTTCAAAATTATCATCAGACCAGTAAAGGATGGCCTGATATTGCCTGGAATTTTATCATAGGTTAGATCATATGTTTARAAATTAARAAAAAATGATTATATTTTTTTMAAYAACAAACAAAAACCTGRTATAACATGTTGTATACACAATGGCTAATAGGTGGTGATGGACTCATATATGAAGGAGTCGGTTGGAACCGGGAGGGCCAACACACACTTGACTTCAATAAAGTTTCGTTAGGTATTGCATTCGTTGGCAATTTTAACCAACAGTTTMCTGAAKWKKAWATGTTGGAAGCGTTGTSARRTCTATTGCAATGCGGTGTCAGAAATGGATTCATTAAACAAGATTATCAATTGCATGGACACAGAGATGCCTATCCGGCCACTAAATGCCCGGGCGATGATCTTTATGAAGAAMTAAAGCKATTTRAWRRCTATGTTAAAAATATAGCAGTATAAGTATAGTCATMTAATATGATGATRATAATRATAATAATAAAACAATTAGCAAATTTTATTACAAAATTATTAATTAAATTTAATATGCATAATAAAGTTGTCTAAATTTTTTTAAATGCAAATTATCTAAATATAATTATTTGTTGAGTGTGTTTGTTTGCGTGATAAATGATTACAATTATAATTTTTTTATTTCATATTATTATTTTATTAAATTAGTATCATTTATATAGATTGGAACAAAACYTTTGGGATTTTAATTAGATTTTTTGTTTTTTTAGATTTTTTTTTTTTGAAAGTGGTTTCGGTTTTCATCTCTATTATATACAATCATTATATTAATATACTATAAATATTTATATATAATTTATTTAATATATAAATTCAATTTCGCATTGTTTRCCCTAAAGCTAGTGTAAATACTGTACAGTTATATATAAATATAAATAATTGTCTTATTAGACGTATTTGTTATTAATATTTYAGTACAAATTATTTGACTAATACTGTATTTGATGATTGTTTAGATTATATTATATKCATTTATTATTTAATATTATTTTARACTTATTATGTATTTTATAATAAATATATATAGAATTTAGTAATAATTTAGTAATAAATAGAATAGTTATAGAAATATTTAACAATGAAATATATAATAATTATAAATGAAATGTTTGTTTGAATAAAATATTAAATTTATACAATAATTGTATATTATAATAATTTGTTGAMTGTTAGACATTATTATTTAYAGCTATATTATTAAAWATTTATTGAAACAATTTATTTTTTTAAAAAATACTAACCATTATCTTAAAATATGAGTATAATTTTCAAAATAAATTGACAAATATCTTGTGTTAAGTTATAAATTATTAGTATCGTTGGTGTTATTGTTATTATTATTAATAATGTTATTATTACTGTTAWTATTATTATTATTATTATTATTAATCTGAACAGTAGTTTCAAGTTGGATGTGTTCAGTAGGTCTCTCCTCTATAGACATACCGTTATACACACTATTTGCCCAAAATCTTAATATTTTCTTTACTTTTCGACGAAATTCTTCATTAAGCCARCAATAGATAAATGGATTATAACTGAAAATTAGAATTAAAATAAAATTTTATTATTTTACTGTAAATTACYTAAAAATTTATGGGATATTTTATTARCAGAAATAAACATTTTTATCGTTTATTGCTTAGTTTTTTATTATTTATTGTTAGATAAAACAAATAGTAGTCAAAATCATAGAGATGTTAAATTTAGCAAAATTTATTACAAAAAAAKAATATTAAATTAATATCCATTAAAATTCTAATAAATAAGTAAATATTAATTTAGCACWTATTAGTTAATWAATTTATATATATTTTAAAACTATTCAATATTTAATTAAAAATTTAAATATTATTTAGTCTGGAATTWATACAAGTATTAAATTTTCTATATTTTCGGTAATTTACAACATTAGTAATTAATATAATAGTAAAAATTTTATGTGTTAACGTGCAATAAAATTTTAATTTAAATAGTTTTTTAGATTAAACAATAAAATAGTTAAAGTAATAGTACTATTAAACAGTAAAATAAAAATTGACAAAATATTAACTAAAATAAAATATTTAAAGTGTGGATTTTTATTAGTATTAGGGTAGATATTATCATAAAAATAACTTATTATWAATTAACTAGWATAWGTTACGTTATCTAAACAGTAAAATTACTGTTTAAAAATTTAGTATATTAAATATATTTGTTATTTAATAATAATTAAAAAATATGTCTACTATTAGTTATAAAATTCATAAATTTTTAATTAAAATATTTATTTTTAAATGTTGTTCATACTATATATTTAGAGAATTATTTWAATATTTAATGTTTTAAAACAAAATATATATATATACTTAAAAAATAAATAAATAATTTTAGTTAATATTTAATGAATTCAGTAATGATTTTTAATGTTTAATTAATAATGTTAATAATATACTGAATAGTTTTGTCAATTACAATAAAGATGTCATACATATTAAAACTTTAATATCATATGTATTAACATATGCTACAAATTTTTAAAATTAATTTTATTTTATWTAYRGAAAAATTATTTGACGTTTGAAGTGTTATTTTATATTTAGATTAATAGATATGTTTACAATTTAAAATAAACTRCATTTTATATTTATTGGAAAATKTTATTTTACTAAACTTGTATTTTTAAAATAAATATTTTAGATTTTATTTATTTGATACTTTCAATATATACATCAATTTTCACAATTATTAACAAAACCAAAATTTTTAAGATTATATATTTTTATTATTGATTCTTTAAAAATTTCAATAGCTTGACAAATCTGTAAGCTATTTTTGTTTAACAAATATCTATTATTTTAAAAATCAATAAATATAAATTATAAAAAATACATAAATATTCTGGGTTTAAATTGAAAAATTTAATGGATTTTATACTTATATATTTTCAATATTTTAGTAATATGATATGTTCTRCAAAATATTTTATTTTGATAAGTATTTTTATAAAAAATATTATTTTTTTAAAAAACTTTAGGAATATGAAAAAATATTTTTTTTATGTTATATTTAATTTAAATTATTATATTACTATGTAAATTTAGTCATCAAATTAAATTTTATTTTTTATTGACCAAAAAAGAGAAATTTATAAAATAATAGAGAAATTTCACATTTCTATATACAGTTGGAATATAAAGACCAAGTAATAATTAAATATTGTATTAATATTTTTATTATTAATTAAAGGTAAAAATTAATTTATTTATACTATAGATACTATGTAAATACAGTATAGTCATCAAATTTTATTTTATTTTTTACTGACATTAATAGATAAAATTGAGTTAACACTACATAGTCTTTACTTTATTATACAATAAACTATATAAATTTATATATAACTGTATATATATATATATTTATTATACAATAAACTATATGAATATATATATATATACACTGTCATACTGTATATATATATATATATATATATATATAACTGTATATAKATATATTMAAAAGTRWGCTTAATATCTTATTTTTCTAAAATAGTTTATTTTGTAGTAATATAATTAAATTTTWTATCACACTCAAATAAAATAAACTATACTAATTAATTAATACTAATTGCTCGTTTGAATAAATATYAATTTAAACAGATTATCAGTGCATATTTAAAAAATGTGTCATATTATATTAAAATTGAATATTGCTATATATTTACTAGATTTTTATTGATTAGATTTATCTATTGAAGTATAATATGGGTTCAATTTTAGTATAACACATTTTTTACAAATGCATTAATTTTGTGTGTGTTTAAAATTAATATTTATGCAAATGAGCAATCAAAATATAATTTTAATAATAGTCTATTTGAGCGTAATAAACAAAATAATATACATTATAGGCTATGTAAGGGATTTTTAGAAACTAATTTATGAAAATATATATTACAAACGGTTATAATATTGATATTATAATATAATATAAAAAAATTACTTAACACTTAATGGATAATATAGAGTATCAAAATTAAATTAATATCAATTATGATTATATCAAAATTATCCAATAAGTGTTAAGAATTTTTTTTCCAATAAATATTATAGAAAAAAACATTTTATTATTAAAGATTWCATTTAATAAAATTATGTYCAGTATTAATAAAACTCAATTTGTTRCAAATATCAATCATATTTTTTGTAACATTGAATTAACAAATAATATGTAATGTTGAAATTATGCTTTAAATAATAAATAATAACTAATAGTAATAATAATAATAATAATAATAATCCTCTATAGTATTGATTGCATTTAGACCGACAAAACTAAATTACTAACTAATCAGATATAATAGATATCATACTTTKTTTTATTGAAATAATATGTTGACATATTTTAGTTGATTATAACATAATTCAAATATTTATTTATTATATTAAYATACACATGTATGCAATAGAAATTTGTTAATGTCAAAAAATTATTATATAATACTTAYAATTAATGTTGTCTTTAGTTATTAGACAATAAATTAATAATAATTATTATTAATAATAGATTCAAACTAATTCATTTTTTATACAAATTTAACTAATCTGTAAATATATTGTAAATAATACAATAATGAAAACATGTTTATCATAATAACAWACTATAAAAACAAATATAAATAATATAATAATAAAGTGTTGCTTAAGTTATGATACAATTTAACAAAACATTTTTTTMTTAATATACATTTTGTTTACTCTCCRCTGCTTTATCTATAATAACCAGACAATAATGAATTTATTTTTTATTARAGATTTATTATTTRTAGTCAATYAAAATTAAAAATAAATACATTTATGTATATATTAAAAATTACAGTCAATTATAGCAAAAGTTAGTTTATAATTATAATTTTAGTTTTTTATACYTTTATTATTATTTATAATAYAAAACACAAACAACACTTTCTATACATTAMATATAATGTTTACAATTTTATTTATGTTATATATATATATATATAATTATTCGTATTATTTATATGTATGTATAATTAGGCTAAATATAAATATACTTTTTWTATTAACATAATATAATAATGTATAAACAATAGAAAACTATATAAAATAAAACAAATTACTTGTAATTAAAATAATAAATTAAAATATTCATTAATAAAAATTATTTTCATTRAAATAAAAATAACAAATTAATTATAAAATATATGCAAATAAATTGATCAATAAGAAATAAATTATATTTAACTTTTAAGCAATTTTATTAAGTTAATGTAATATTAATATGATACTAAATTATATACATTTTGCTATGCATTTAAAATATTATAATAATCAACTGAAAAATAAATATTATTTCTTATAAAGTTATATATTAAAAATAATTATTGTTATTATATTTATTGATTTTTTGATATTCTTAAAAAT